GAGAGAGAGAGAGAGAGAGAGAGAGAGAGAGAGAGAGAGAGAGAGAGAGAGAGAGAAGAGGACTTACCTGTACCAGCGCCATAGCTGGCTCCACGGTACCTGGAAGTTGAGCCATCGCCAGGTAAGTGCAGAAAGCGCCTAGCTTTTTTTTTCTTCTTCTTCTTCTTCTTCTCCTCTCCTCTTCTCCTCCTACTCCTCCGAAGTTCTTCTTCTTCTTCTTCTTCTTCTTTATCAGAGTAGAGAAGGTAACTGCAGACATTGTTTGGACACGGCCTTCTGCCTTATTGGACACGACATTCAGATCGGACTTACACTCTGCATTGGGATTGAACTGTGTGCGGCATTCGGAGATCAGACTTGGGTTGGACTTGGTTACCTCCTATGTCCCTCCCCCTTCTCTCTCGCATGTATATGGATCTCTCCCCATGTGTGTGAGCAGAAGGGCAATCTTTCTGGTGTCTTGCCCTTCCGAAGTTTCTCCCTTTCATGTTGTTGTCCACGTGTCCTTTTGATACTAAATCTTCCGCTGCGCTGCTTCCCAGCCTATGATGATAATGATACGGATGTGTTGTTGTTCATTTCTCGTTGTTTCACTCTTTGCATCGCGCACATTGACACCTTGTGAATGTTGCACCTATGCTGGTGGTTGTTGCCACTTTCGTCATAGCTAGATCCTAGGCTTTCAGTGCATTTCACTTTCTGATATGCTACACAGAGAGAGAGAGATTTGTTGCCACTTTCGTCATTGCTAGATCCTAGGCTTTCAGTGCATTTCACTTTCTGATATGCTACACAGAGAGAGAGAGAGAGAGAGAGAGAGAGAGAGAGAGAGAGAGAGAGAGAGAGAGAGAGTCAATCACAAAGCCTAGAACAAAATGTTGTCGAATCTTCAAATGAGACGAAGGGGTTGTATCTTGTGGCTCAGTCCGCGGGGAGGAGGGACCTGTTTTTTGCCTTTCCCATGCCCTTCCTTTCTCCCCCCCCCGGCACCTCATAGATACAGCTCAGCATCCAGCCAGAGAGAACGATCTTCCTCACATTCAACTTTTACATTGCAAGGCATTGATCGCACATGCCAGTGAGCCTTACTACGAAGTTACCAACACTCAGCAACAGAAGCAGCAACCTTATTCGTCTTCTCCATGAAAGAGAGAAAAGTACAGAAAACCAATGAACAAATATGTCTCAAGGCTAGGCTACCAGAGTGGCCCCGGACCACTTGCCCAGCCCCGGGCCAAAAAACTAGAAAAAAATTGCGTGGAAGCAGCTCACGTGGGCCCTTATCAGACATGCAAGTCTTCTGGGCTATGGCCCCAGCAACTCCCGTCCTAAGTGAAGGCGGGCCTGAATATCCATGAGAGGCCTCTTTACGACAGTTTTCCATATGTGGGGAATCAGACAGTGGCAGGACGCCAGTTGGATACAGAGCAATGTGCGCCTTCAGGCTCCTTCCAGAAGGAAGGCTGCACTGTACAGCTGAGCCCAGGGCTCAGGTGGTTGGGCATTGGCACATGCCGTGTGAGGCCGACACATCATGGACTGGCCGCGAGCCAATGAGAAAGCAGCATTGTCATCACACAGATAGGCAATGAGAATGCTGCGAACACTTGGAGGCCGGGTGGCTGCTTGGACGTGCCCAACTGAAAAGGGCCCAGGCCCGTAACAGCAGGGTGAGGCCTGGGCACAGACACTGGGGCCCGACTGGAAGCTACTGGAAACCTCACAGGCAAGGCCCACACAGCCAGAGGAAGGGCCGATAGGCAGCCTCATTCGAGCCTTGGCAGAAAGTGCAGACACACTGCTGCGTTGCTGCACTAGTGTCTGCATGGGCGCTGCTGGTCAGACACACGCACGGGCACTGAGGTGACGGGTGCTGCTGAGGTGACGGGCGCTGCTGAGGCAGCGGGCGCACAGCAGCCATAGCCGGGCTGCAGGGGTGCAGGCAGGTGATGGCGATGGTGGTCTTCGGGTAGGAGGCACATGCAGAGGGGATCAAGGTGTAATGAGGGGAGGAGAGAGAACGCACCTGGTGTATGATGGTGGACGACACTGGTGTTGACGTCACGTACATCGGTCTTCGACTTCGATATGATCCAATCGCATGAACAAGATAGGATAGATAGGGTGAGTAGAGTACACTGGGTGCTGGGCGCCAGGCAGTAGGGGCGACATTGGATACAGTGTTCGTGTGACCAGGGAGTGTCGGCACTGGCACTCCGGTTCATTCTATTGCTCTTATTTGGATGGAATCTTGATGCATTGTGCTCTCTGCTTGGTACATGACTATCTGGACTACTTCGTGATTTTTTTGCAACTTGGTTTTCTGGCTCATATTTCTTGGAATTTGGTTTTCTGGCTCATATTTCTTTCAATTTGGTATCGGAGCTGGTTCGATATTGCCGTTACCGGCACTGGCGACTTTGTTACTTGGTGCACTAACGAAGCTTCTACGCAGTAAGGATACATTTGCGCTGGCTTAATTGGGCGACTCCCGGGTAGGGGGGAGCGTTCCCGGAAGGCTGGGGTGACAACGTGGGAGCTGTAGCGACAGCGGATGTATGTGGGATGATGACATTATGCTGACATGCCATTTTGGCTGAGGTGGTTCCATTGCATTGTGCTGTAGCAGCAGCGGATGTATGTGGGATGATGACAGTATGCTGACGTGGCATTTTGGCTGAGGTGTGATAACCCGTCCAAACATGGTCTGAAACACACAGCTGATTTCTGAGTTTTGCTCATAGACTGAATGCCCTACTGAGTTCCCCGCCTGCTAAGTCTGTGTGTGTTTGTGCTTGCTGGGCTGCATGTCTGTCTGAGTGCTGGTTGGCTTGCGTGTGTGTGGGCTGGTTGGAATGAGTGTGTGTGTGTGGCCCGCCAGGGCACTTGTTCGTCCGTTGGGCCCTCAGGGACGGTACTTACCTGTGGCCGTGGCTTCAAGGGTTGCAGTGGGGAATAAGCACTCAAGTAGCGGGTAGGCCGGTACCGGGGGTACCGCACCCGGCAAGGGGGAAAATATGCAGGTACCGGGAGGCCGAGCAGAAGAAGACAAAAGTGGCATTTTTAGAGGCCGGTAGTGTAGGGTAGGTCTAGCGGGTACCAGTCTGAGTCTAGGGCCTGTAGGGGCAATATCAGAGTCTGCAATGATRTTTCCCTCCAAAAGAGGAGGAGGTACCKGTTGCTTGGGAAGGCCAGCGGCCTGGAAGTCACCGCCCAAGAGGCAAAGCAGGCCGCTATATCTTCAGGCCGGGCGGAAGACCTGGCCTCTTTTTCGGTGTGCAAGTTTGGCGACACACTGGTGGAGCGCTGGCTGGAGCAGCGCTAAGCTGGAGCAGCCCTGCTGGGGAGGAAGGAGAAAGACATGAGGGAGGAAGGAGGAAGGAGGAAGGAAGAGGGAGGAGCGCCAGGGGTACTTACCTGGCTATGGTGGCAGCCATCTTCATCACCTTGGTGGGCGCTGCAGCAAGGAGTCCCCAGCCGGGGGGAGTCACACCGAGAAGCTTCAAGGCAGGGCTGGGCATGGCGGCCTGAGCTGGAGCAGCCATATCTGCTTTGGGTTGTCCTTTGGACATCGGAGCAAGGCCTAGTAGTCTGCCATAGCCTCGGCCTATGAGAGTGAAGAGTGGGAGAGGCGGCCATGGCTATGGTGGACCTTGAGTGATACCTGCAGTAGAAGAGGGACTCGGACATGATTCTGGACCAGTCATTCAACATTGTATTATTATTTCTTGTACGAATAAGAGAAGGGGGAGATAAGGGGGAGGAGATTGTTGGGCGAAGAAGAAGAGCCTTGTCATTGTCTTTGCTGGTGTACAT